GTGCCTCAGTCCCCGTGTGATCAACCGGACCCGATTTGGGGCGGTTATGAGTACGCCTCCTTCACGATGCTATGGAAGAGAACGTTGCCACAGAACGACACTTCCGCTAGCCAATCATACAGGGGGATGGTGTAGGGACGAATGGGTCTAATGTTACAACTTTGCAGATTCCGGCGCGACTGTACAACGAGGCGTCTCGACGCCCTCCAGTCTACAGAGGTATATGTATGGCACTCAATGTTCAAGTCTAATCTCGAGCAACTCCTGCATGTCCTTCATTCTCTGATCGAAACACATTTCCATCACTCAGCCTAGATCCAATAGTCACCGCAGCATGATCTACGCCATGGGAATTTGGTTCTCCAAGACGTCACTCCTTGGAGTTGTGCTCACCAGCGCTTTCACATCCGCTCTCGTCATTCCCAGAGGCCATCATGATTCAGTCCCTGCGTCAGATGTCTACAAAGATGGTGACCAAAACCACTACCCTTCAGCGAGCCATGGTACTGGATATTCTTATCCGATAACCATGGCCAGGTCATCTGGTATAGGTCTTGAGACTTCGAGTACGCCGTGTGCCACTTCTTCGACTGCGACAGTGACAGTCGCTGGCTCGAGCATCGCGTCACTCGCCTTGCAAACCGATCATTATCCTATAAGCGACGGTAGCACGATATATGGTCAAGGAAACCATAATAACGTCAACTTCCAATAGCTAACATGATGACAGGCTATCCTACAAACCCTTCGCCGAGCCCGATCGTGTTGAGCAGTACCATGATTCACCCCACTGAACCGACTGTACCACCTCCAGAGGTCCCGGCTATATCAGGGTTTTCTTCTACAACACCTATTACAAGCATCATTGTATCCCATATTGGGGGACATGGCCCTGTAGTTTCGAGCACTTTCAGTATGACTGTCGTCTCGTTCATTGCTCTTCTCAATCTTCGTGACAAGCTTCGTTTGTATATGGATGACTGACGTCTTTGCAGACACCCCTAAACCATATCCTTCCAACTACGCGACTGTATCCGTAGCGCCCTATCCTACTGCTTCGCTCACTCTCCAAGGAGCACAAGTATCGCACAATACGTATGCAACAGGCACGATACCAACAGCCTACATACCAATCTCGACAGGATATACTAGATCACCAGCTCATGGAACAGAGTACATGCCGCATAGCAACGCCACGACTTATGCAATGGAAAGCAGTATCTACATCTCCAATACATTGGGTTCGTCAATCCACCCACCAGGCATAGATATGACCCAGCACATCTGACATCGCACAGACTCTGCCGTTTACCCTGCAACTTCTACTCTGGCGGGAAGCTCTACAGTAGAAGTCTATGCTCCCAGCTCGCCTCTTCCGTCGGTACTAGGAACCATGAATATTCAGTACACTTCATCCAACGCTGCACAGACACCATCTCCAATTAGCGCTGTGCTATCCAGTGTGTGATCTGATTGCTTTCGTCCAGAACAGCTTGTATGCTAACTTCACTTCAGGTTCTTCAGCTACGCCTGGTACCATGATCACTAGCGCCGTGCCATTACCCACAACCCCGGATGTGGTTGCTACGCCTGCTCAATCGACTGGAGAATATGGCATAGCGCCAAACGGAGTCGCTTACATGAGCGTCTGACGCGAAGACGGGGAGCGACGGCAGGAGCTGCAATAGGTGTGAGAGAAGAGCGCTCGCGGTGTTTCATTTGTTTTCCATATTGCTATCGAGGTAATGTTATGGTTGACGGGGTTTGTCATGGTCTTAAGGAAGTCTACTCAATACACTCACACTCGCTTTCCCGATTATGTTTCACGAAGACGGTCTGTTTGTGTACATCGTAGGTGAGATGCACGTGTTGTGACATACAGCAAAGTGACTGCCTCCAACATAACGTCTCGCATTGCCAGTAGGACGCGCCTCCTCACATGTAGGATTTGGCCGTTTTAACATCACAGGGGCCACCCCCAGCTTGTCGAAACGGTCAAACAATATGACGTGGGGTTCGCGGATCAGATGGGTCCGTGCGGGTTGCCATGGTGCAGGGAAGTGGCGTCGCGTTGTTGGCTAGCGCTATTTACATTTATCGTCTGAGCTCGCACCATCGCACATTACATAGACGTGCTGCACAACTTCCTTAGATTACCAAAGTCCAAACCAGACTCATAGCAAGTGCTACCCCTCGACAACATACATAACCCTCCCCAACCGTCAAGTTGGCGCGCCTCAAAGAATCCCCGGTCCCAATGGATCCCCCTCCTCCCCTCTCGCCCAACAAGGCTCCCTTCTCGCCTGGGATGCCCATCTTTCCCGTCAGCCCCGACCGAGGTGCAGGCTCAAGATCTCCCTTTGGCGACTCCAGAGGATCGTCCCCGGTCCTGGCGCCATCTACGCCAAACCTCCGTCCTCACTCGCCGCTACGACACACACACCGCCGGACCGACTCCGATGTCTCCGTTACAGCACTTACCGGCATGTTCGAGAACCTCGAGGTTAAGGACCCAAGAGAAGCATGCAAGCGGTTCAAAGAACTCCTCGACAAGGAGAGAATACGACATGCCGAGAAGTTGAACAAGATTGAAAAAGAACATGCCAAGAAGGAACGAGAACAGGAAATGGCTCTGAGCCGACGCGACATCCGCATCGACGAGCTGAAGAACGAACTCGAACACGCGAGTGGATCTCTCGGCGAGGCTATCACCAAGGAACGATACGAGAAGGAGCGCGAGGCGAGCAAGGCTGCCATCAAGAAGTGGGAGAAGATTTTTAAGGAAAATGAAGAGAAGTGGAGGGGTGATCGAGCCAGAGCGGTAAGTCTATCATACCTTTGTATCTCCATGTCAGCTACTAATGGGTTCCAGGTGGAGGCAGAGCGCCGTAGCCAAGTTTATGAAGGCAAATATCGTCACGCCAAGAAGGACTTCATGGAAGCCAACAACGAGAAGCTACGGACTTCTGCCATGATACCACAGCTCCAGTCTAAGATGCAGGGGCTTCAGCGTAGCTTGCAGCGGGCCGAGTCGGATGTCAAGTTCAAGACCGACGAAGCTACCAAGTACAAGAACGACGTGTACAACCTGCAACTTGAGATCGAGACTGTCTCCAACCGACTGAACGAAGAAGTGCAGACACTCAAAGAAAAGCTAGGCTTGGTAGAAGGAGAACGCGATGCTCTTAAGACAAGCTTAAAAGAGGAGGAAGTCTTGCGCATCGCTGCCGAAGGCCAAATCCCACTCCCATCCGCCGACGCAGAAGAGACCGACGAATTCGCGTCACCCGTTCGATCACCACGCAAGCCACGCAACCTCTCGCGTGAAGATGACGATAAGGAAAACGTGTCTCCAAAGAAGAACGCAATTGATCTGCGCTTTGTTCAGCAGGAGCTGGCAGCAGAGAGGCGTGCCCGAGAGCGCGCGGAGGAACAGATTGACTTCATGAAGATGGAATGCCAGTTCCAATGCTGTTCTTGCCGCATTGCTGAGAACAGTGGAAAGCAATACATCCACGACAATTCTCTGGAAGATGAGATGCAGCGCATCAAGGTCTCGCTACCCATCTCCACACCTCCGCCTAGCAACCACGGAGACGAAGTCATGGAAGACGTAGCGATCAAGCAAGAGTCTGTTGAAAACGAGCGACCCATCACACCGCCAGAGGACGTCGCAGTCAAGACAGAGGCCGAGGAACCAGAGACCGTTGTCGCCTTCTCTCCTGACACAGGAACCTTCCGCTCTGTCCCCTCCCCGATGAAGTCACGCCCATCAACAGACTTGGCAACACCTGCAGAGCCATCGCCTGCGGTGGAGATGATTGATGCACCGATGGAGGTGGCACACATGCGCAACTCAGTCATTCCTACTGAAGTGTCTCTACCACAGTCTCGTCCAGCGTCTAGGGTAGACTTTGTCCTTCCTGCTCGTAGGGAGAGCAAGGCTGTAGACATCAGTATCCATGAAGACGCCGTGGATGACAGTGAAGATGAGGACATGTCACCGCCGACGCCAGACCAGGAGCCTACCGGTCCAGCAACACCCTATCTTACTCGCACAATCACCACCACCACCACCATCCCTCTTCACTTCTCTCCTGCCACTCCAGCATTCAAGCCGGGCCGAGGGCCTATGACTCCTTCGACCGTCGCACATGCTGCGGCTAATACACAGACACCTGTCTTAGGTGAACTGTCACTCAACAAGCTAGGCATCGACCGCGAAGCCGCCCTCGCAGCCATTCGTGAACGCAGGGGACGTGCTAGAAGCATGGCCGCTGGTCACGGAACGCCAATGAAGCAGATGGTCGAGGGCGCGAAGGATCGTAGAGACATCAGCGCACCCGTGACCCGCGTCCGCAGTGTATCGCGGAAGCTGAGATGAGCAATCCAGGGTGGAGGTTTCAGAGAGCGACTGGTGGCTGCTATGCTGACGAGAGCGCCGCGAGAGTCGTGATACCATTGATTTTCCCTGTTGCGACTTTACCTTGCGCTTAGCGGCATTGCATGGCGTTGGAGGCTCTTGCTGCATTTTGAATTTTACCTGGCGTCTGGGTTGCATGCATGCACGGTTGGCTTCGGACGGGCAGTGACTGCGTTATATACCACAGTTGTGCTTTTTGCTAGTTCTTATGATATTGTAATTCAGTATGGTCATCTTCCGCTCTTAGCATTCAAGGTTTTTAATGTACTGGTTGTGGAAAGTATGCAGACGTTGTGGCGGCGAGAACTGTCAACTTGATTGTGAGTATGTTCCTGCACGGCCTGAATATGACAATGAATCTAAAGAGTGATGTTCCTTGCACCGGGAGCCGTGGAGGAGGAGATGGTCGGCACGCGTGCAACGCTGCCAAGCCCCACTAGCGCACCATTGGCGGACCAAGCGAGCTCGAAATTCGATGCCCACCAGTCCAAGGACTGACTTCAGTATTCATCGACAGCGACTACGAACTTTGACGCCCATCCCTCTCTCTCTCCCTCCCACACCGACAACCGCAATCATGTCTGACAACGGAGAAATCGAGGTCGAGAACCCCACCGGTATCAACATCCTTCCCAAGGATGTCACCGACGAGCAGGGCAGCGTTAAGCTGTTCAACAAGGCAGGCGCATTGCGATTTCCGCTCACACGCACAAAACTAACAGCTCGCAGTGGTCCTACGAGGAGGTCGAGGTCCGCGACATCTCATTGACGTACGTTTCCCCCACGATATCGCGCCGCATACCTACATAAAGGGACAATGGTGGCATTGGATACTTTGTATTGCGCTGCGAGACCTTCGGCTAACTGAAGCCGCAGCGACTACATCCAGATCCGCTCACCTGTCTACATCTCACACTCCGCCGGCCGATATGCCGTCAAGCGGTTCAGGAAGGCCCAGTGCCCCATCATTGAGCGTCTCACCAACTCGCTCATGATGAACGGCCGCAACAACGGAAAGAAGCTCATGGCTGTCCGTATCGTTGCTCACGCTTTCGAGATCGTACGTCTATGACCTGCCAGATTTTCGAATCGCGAAAGTGGCATGCAATGCCCCCAAGGAGATGGCTGACAATCGTAGATCCACATCATGACCGACCAGAACCCCATCCAGGTCGCCGTCGATGCCATCGTCAACTGCGGTCCCCGTGAAGACTCCACCCGTATCGGTTCCGCCGGTACCGTCCGTCGCCAGGCCGTCGATGTTTCTCCCCTCCGCCGTGTCAACCAGGGTATCTCCCTCCTCACCATCGGTGCCCGTGAGGCCTCTTTCCGCAACGTCAAGAGCATTGCCGAGTGCCTTGCTGAGGAGCTGATCAACGCTGCCAAGGGAAGCAGCAACTCGTACGCCATCAAGAAGAAGGATGAGCTCGAGCGTGTCGCCAAGTCCAACCGATAAAGGCGTGCGTTCTTTGTATGGGTGTGCATGGTGTCTCTGGGAGGAGTTCTTTCGAATGGCTGTTCTGGTCGTATTTTGATCGGACGGGATGAGGGATCTTATGCATGGCATGGCTTTCCTAGGCGAATAAGACCTCTTTCATGGTTGCATGACAAAAATGGACAATACGATACCACGTTCAGATGAGCCGTTGTTGCGTGCGAGGTGATGTTGATGGTCACAGACTGGCTGGAAGAGACCAGATTCGCTGTTGGAAGGCAACTCGACAGCAGTGACGATTCACTCCATTGGCAGCGCCATGGCGCCCGCCGTGCATGCCATGTTGATAGACTCGAGTGTATTATTCAAAATCATCTATGGGTATCTTATGTCTACACTTACTACGTGTATATCGTGCTCAACGTTAGGTACATGTCTAAGCGGCCGCCCTGCCCAAGACCGCCCTCTCTACTATCCCTCCAAACTCCTCGAAGCTGACTTTACCGCCACTTCTCTCCCCAAGTTGCTCGGCCTCCGCATAAGCTTTCTCCATAACATCGCTATCGATCCTGACAAGCCAATCTTGCCCTGTAATCATAATATACCCTCCTTCCTTCTGCAGCTGCTGCATAAGCCCGCTTGCTTTGATCAATCTTTCAACCCAGAGCCTGTCCTTGCCCTCATTCCACGCCGCATCCACGAGATCCACGGCGCCCTTCTGCCTCATCTTCTCCCTCACAAATGCAACTACCCGTTCCCTTCTCGCAGCCTCCAGCTCGGCCTCCCTCTTCTCCTCTGCTTTTCGTTCCTCCCGTTCTTGTCTCGCTCTTTCCCGAATTTCTTCTTCTACAGCTGCTCGCCGAGCCTTTTCTGCTGCAGAAGCTGCTTCGCGTTCCTCGCGGCCTTCGGCTTCTTGGAGGCGCCGCATTTCAGCTTCGGAGCGGAGCCACTCATTGTAGGCGCGCTGTTGGTCTCTCCGGGCAAGCGATTTGGCTTTCTTGGTGCCGACTACTCGTTGGGTTGGGGGTGGGCGGTTCGCGTTCTGTTGTGGTGGGGGGTTTGCGGGGCCGGGAGCGAAAGCATCGTCGGGTAGTTGGACTTCTCGTTCTTCGTGGTTGTGTCGTTGAGGATGGTGTAGTTCAGGAAGGTCTTCAACGTGGGCCTGGTGAGGCGGTGGTGTGGGCGCTCGAGGTGGTCGCGCGGCTTCTGTGCCGTCGTCTTGCAGGACCAGACGTTCGTCTAGGGGGAGTTGTTCGCCCTGGTCTTGTTCTTGTACATCTTCTTGATTTCTGACCGCTGGCTCAACTGCGCGATGCGCATCTTCATTGTCTTCCCTTTGTCCTGACCCTGCCTCTGCTGCTTGCCGTTGCGCATTGTACCATTCGCCTATTTGTGGGGCAAAATATAATGTGCCGCAAAGGACTGCTGTATGTAAGAGATCTTGCGACAGAGGTGTGCCAGATCGCGTGAATGGTAGGAGGAGGTTAAGAATTGTGAAAGGAAGAGATATTATGGCTCCCATGTTGGCGGACGGTTGTGCTTGTTTAGACGAGGTTTGTGAGTCGAGCAAGTGTTTGGTTGAGAGATCGGAGTGGGGTTTTCCGCGCGCGGTGGCCGTTCGGCAGTAGTTGACAGCCGCTAACGGTCCATGTAAAGGCGGAATGACTTCTGAAATCTTTGGACTGGCCGCGGGTTGTGCAATGATAATGGTGGTTGTGGCGTCGACGATGTGATTCGTGCGAAAGACAATCTTGAGTCCAAATTGATGATGCAACTGCCAAAGCCCGCCATAGGGCTGAGAGCTAGTGCTGCGTTGGTGCTAGCTTACATCTTCGGCGATCAGGCATCTCTCAGCCTGAAGTGTCGCTTGGAATGTCTTCATGACTATTTTGCATATCCTGCTTATTCTCTTTTCCATAATATTCATACAACCTTTCTGATCTTCCAGCAGAGAAAGTCAACAACGCAATGACCAAGCATAGCTGCTAAGCGTCGGCATCTCCATAGGGAGTATCTTGCGAAATGCGCATTATTTAACCTACGCACGTAAGGTGTGGGTCAACTATCAACCCATACGGGGCTTCTAGGTCAGCATGAAACGACGCCTGGAGAAGTCCGCGCAATAATAACTTGATTCTCTACGCCTGTCGTCTCCTCACGGTTTCTATATGGTCGATCTGACCTCATCACCGACCAGACCTGGGACCTAGATCCATGAAACCCCGCATGGGTGTGAAAGATAGGACTTCAAATAGTGTAACAACCACATTGTATAGATTTGCACGTGAAAGAAGGACATGGGGTCCGGCTAAATCCAATCTTCTTAGAGATTTGCTCCTGGTCGCGAAGAAAATGGGGTGTTTATTCATTCTGTTCTATGCAGTAGCGAAGAAGTGTGACCAATCGATATTTCCTGACTAAGAAACGAATTTCCTTAGCCTTTCAAGCCACCAGCAACGTCGTTTTGAGGAATGTATTGCGACTGTGATTTCACCGCGTTCACGATACGTACGGAAGGGTTGAGCCGGGGCCGCCCCGCATATAAGGCTATCCACCGCGTTCGAGGAAGCTAAAACCTATAATCTCCTCTATATCTCTAGCCAAGCTACTCAATAAGGTTAATCGACTCTTTGTAACTAGGTCTCCCAGTCTGGAAAAGCTTCAAGCTGCACCTGCCTATTTATTGCTCTCTCTTTGCACTTGCTTTACTCGCGTCGTTGCCACCTCTCTGGCCCTACAATCGAGCTAAGCTTCAGTACTCTCTACGGCCCTCCCCAACCTCCCTCAGGGTACCGTAAGACACCTCATCTCTGTGTTACCACGCACGCACGCGCAGTACGGTAGGGAAACTGAACATTAGCATGGTCGTCGCCACAACAGATGTCTGGCCTAACACGGCAGGCTTCGACACGAACTACGAAGAGAACGAACCCGTGTCACTCACTGTCAAAGGCACCATCCCCAAATACGCTGCAGGTGTACTTTACCGAACAGGACCGCTCGGCTACAAGGCGAAGACAGACGATGGAAAGGTCTGGGCGGCAAAGCATTGGTTCGATGGGTTCTCGTGTGTTCATCGCTTCCAGATAGACGCCACTCCCCATGCGGACAGTCCACCGAAGGTTACATACCGCTCTCGACGCACAGTAGATGAATACCTTGAGATGGTCCGTAAGAACGGCAGACTTGACAGTACCACGTTCGGCCCAAAGCGTTCAGATCTATGCGAAAGCTTCTTCAGCAAAGTCATGAGCATGTTCGTATCAATACCAAGCGAACATAATGTCGGCGTTACCTTGTCGATTAATATGCCAGGAGGCGACAAACTGCCTGGAGCTACGAGTCCTACAACAAACAATCACACCAACGGCATCGACACTTTACATGTTAAAACAGATTCTCACGAGGTCAAGCAGATCGACCCTGAGACTTTGGAACCAAGGGGCTACGCTCGCCAGAAGTCTCTCCATCCAGAACTGAAAGGGCCCTTCTCCGCTGCCCATGCTAAGTCCGACCCCAAGACTGGTGACATGTTCAACTTCAACCTAGAATTTGGTTATAAGAGCACCTACCGCATCTTTCGCGTTTCAGCATCGTCTGGCGAGACAGACATCCTCGCCACCTTCCATGGAACGCCTGCATACATCCACTCATTGTTCCTAACAGAAAATTACGTCATTCTCTGTGTCTGGAACAGCCATATCACATGGGGTGGCATTTCGCTCATGTACCACAAGAACGTCATCGATGCCATGGCACCCTTCGACCCAAATACCAAAGCTACGTGGTACGTCGTCGATCGGCGCCAGGGTAAAGGAGTCATAGCAACGTACGAAAGCAACCCATTTTTCTGCTTCCACAGTATCAACGCTTGGGAAGAACCGTCGGCTTCTGATCCCACCAAAACAGACATCATCACCGAGCTCAGCATGTTCGAGAATCTTGATGTTGTCAAGCGCTTCTACTACGATAATCTCATCTCTTCCATCGACACGCGCGAGTACGAAGGTGAGGAGCGTATGACAGCTTTACCTATGCAGGCACAATTCCGTCTTCCCAGCGTTGACGCTGGTGTCCCTACTCCCATGCCCGCTGAGCTCTTGTTCCAGGCTGAGAAGTTCAAGTCGATGGAGTTGCCCACGTTGAACCCTGCATATCTAACACGACGCCACCGCTACACATACGGTTGCGCTGACCGTCTCAAATCTTCCTTTTTCGACGGCCTCGTCAAGTTCGACAATAAGACTCAAGAAGTCAAATATTGGGAAGAAGAGGGTCACACGCCTGGTGAGGCCATCTTCATTGCTGATCCGGAAGGCATGGAGGAAGATGACGGTGTGTTGCTGAGTGTGGTTTTGGATGGGTATGCGGAAAAAAGTTACTTGCTCGTACTGAAGGCGAAGGATTTGACGGAGATGGGAAGAGCAGAGATGGCGGGTCCGATGAGCTTCGGATTTCATGGGACGTTTAAGGAGTCGGACAAGATGTACAGAGGTGACGTATGAGCGGTGGAACTACACAGCGCAGGCATAATGTCATGCAATTTGACCTCTCGCTAGTTACTTTCTCACGAGAACAATTTTCGGTTGTTATGGCATTTGTTCATTCAAACTTTGCTCAGTGCAGAAAGATGCGCATCACATTCAGTCCACTTCGATGTCCCAAACCAGAGTCCCTTGCATGGTTCTTATCGATCTAGCGTGTTAACTTCTCGCTACGTTCCTTTGTAGAAGTATTGGTGTAAACCTATTGTTTCTTTGCGCCTACAAGTTATGGTTTAGTTGGCCCAGAAGAAAGACTTCTACAAGCAGTAGATATGCCGGTGAGTTGAAATCCGAATCCAGCTGTCGTTTGTAGGTCGTCGTTCTAGTAAAGCTCTATGGCTTTTCCCAAAGGTCGATCCTGCCCTGAGACTACAGGAGACATCAAATATGGAAAGTGATGTCGAAGACTACTTGTGAATTTACTTGAGTCTTATTGGATGTCCCAAGCTCCGGTAGATATGGGTCAAAGGCTAGGGGCTTATTTGTATGAACACTGTATCTTGGAGGGTCTGGCAGAGGTGAAATGGCAGCCTAGAGAATGTTCACAGCCGTGACTTACATTTTTCACACACGTTATGAAGTTCAGTTATCAACATTGCTACCCCTTTCTTCTCAACGTACACCCCAAGCCTGCGACCCTACAGCTCGACGAATCCTCGATCATACTCGACATGCCCGACGATACTGCAACCGGCCTGAGTCTGAGCACGTTCTTTGACGAAAGTGTAGATGATCTCCAGGAAGATTATTACGTTGTGCACGGTAAAGAATGCGACATTTGCGGCTGCGACGAGAAGGCCGATCCGTCGGATATTGTCAACCAAGCGTCTTCTATTTCCTCTAAGGCCGTAGTCCAGACCAAGACATGTCCATCGCCTCATATCTTCCACAAACTCTGCCTATATGTTTGGCTGCACACAAAGCTTCACAAAGATGAAGACGCAACCTGCCCCATGTGTCGTACCAAGTTTGTCTTGAGTGCACATTCCAAAGAGTTGCATACATACCTAGAGTTATTACAATCTCTCGTTGAAAGATACAACACCGTGATCGAGGAGTCGTTACTCCAAATGAATCGAATCGCGGATAAGATCAAGCAAGCAAAGCAGGAAGAAGACGACTCGACTGATGACATAAGGAAACTCGAACTGTCGAATATACGAAGGGCCCTGACCACCGCGCAGCGTGCAGCTACGACTACCAACGATCTGGCACAGCATGACCTAGCACAATGTTCGGGTGCTATGAGACGGATAGCGGCAATCATCGCAATGAGCGATTAGGGTATGCAGATCTGGTACTCATACCTAACGACGAGGCTGAGAGCGGTCGAGAAAGATAGTCTCTCACAGTTGTATTTTGAGTTTGTCGTCAGATGACTGAATCTGTTTAAGCGGTCGCGAATGATCGTTGCGACAGGTGTGCCTGTGGGTAAAGGTCGTTAACGCGGATCTATCTATCGACTTTGAAAAAACTAAAAAAAAAACTCAAACCTATGTAGAGTAGAGAAGACGAGTTCTTGATCCCCAATTGGTCATGTCTTGACGAGCTTGTGATTGTCTGGTGTCCTTGGCAATACTTCTAAGACTGGTGCATTCCGAAGTATCCCGATTCCAGCTTCCCCGATCATCTCCGAAAATCCGAGTTGTAACCGAATTGCCACACACTCAGTAATTTGTTCCGACTAAATCGAGAAAGTCAAATTCTCGACCAATCACCATGACCAGAGCTGGAATATGTATGAATTCAGTGGGTCATCTTTATCAAGAATTGTAGTCTTTTCGAGTGAGGCTCTTCGGCGATGACTCGGCGGTACAATTGTTGGGACCGATGGGTTTCGACTTTGCGACAACAAGAGTATATAGTAGGCCGTTACCAGCAGCCTGAAGCAAGTCGCTCATCGATCAAGCAAACATTAGCAATTGTCAATATTCCTACCATACTTACAGCCTTCCAATACGTCGGATCATCGAATCTTAGCCTCATCTAAACTTTCAACATGGTCGCACAAACCTCCAAGCCATCGAGTCGCAGCTCTTCTGTGACAGCGCCAGTCGAGAACTCGTCGTTAAGCCAACACCATGCGATTGCGACTTCCTCATCCTTGAGAGCGGCGCTCAAGAAGCCCTTCCAGGGTTGGTCAAAGGAGCTCCTTCGCGCAAGAGACGACGACGACGATGACTACAATTTCTCGAGTGGTATGCGCCGTGGCGCCCAGTACCACCAGGAACACTCCTAAGATGGTCGTTCATGAAATGGTTCGCGCCTGATGGAGAAAAGACCGATATTACTACGAAAGTCTTCCTGACGATTTTGGACCCGATATCGATGCGCACACACCGAGCAGTTACGGCAACTTTAGCTTTGGAAGCAACGGCGAACGGTGTGAGAACGACGGCGGATAGAGGTGTTGGTGTGTTAGGCTGACAGGCTTGTTCTACCTGGACGGCATGACCGGGAGGCACAGGGATGGCGTTTGTGTTGCGTTATATTGTTTGTTCGAGCGCGATACCCCTAGTTGTGTTGTAATTTGAACGTTGCTTTGTCGAACGTGGTCTCTGTGCTTGTCGTGCCGAAAACTTGTATGCTCACGAAGGTGGAAACTCTCATTATGTCAGCAGCGCTTGGTGCATGCGCTTTCTTCCAATCCCCAGTGCTCGCCCACATCTGCAAGACTTTTCTCTCAGCACGCCCTCGAAAGTTGCGACCTACCCAAACGCCCCAACTTCATAGGGCTGACAGTTAGGATCCTGCTTGCCGTCTCGCTAAAATGGCTACCAATGGCCCAGAGAGCGCCTTCCGAAACACGCATGGACCACAAGATCCAAGCCACAAACTTTGTTGCTTGCCAATTTTTGCGCGCGGAGTTTTGACAGGCCATTTACCACCGATACATCAAGACAGCAGACACAAGAAATAAGAAATGGGCAAACCAAGCCTTACTCCATAAGTCTGTGTTGCAGAATGATTATGGGAATTTGAAACCATCATACCGTGGCTCTGTGCGTGCTTTTGGCTTACCTATCAACGTCACTCCACAGTATGCTTCGCTCCACCCAAGCAGATGCGGAGAATTTACGAGCAATTTCTTTCAGGCAACAGTCGCGTAAATAGACCGCAACTAGACCACATCAGATACCGGTGTGCCTAGAAAGGCGGCTCGTATAGTTTTCAGGGGGCCAGCACGGGTTAGGCCTCCCGCATCATGCGCTGTCAGTTAAGCGATCAGCCATCAAATCTCCCCAATAAGTAGACTGGATATCCCACAGCCAAAGAGTCTTCATTGCATTGTCAAGCATCACTCGTTACTGTCTTTCGTTCTTTACAACATTTCCAACACTTGGACTTAATATTCATCCTTCTACATCACAATGTCTAAGCTTTTGTCTCTGGCGCTTTTTGCTTCGTCTGCTGCGGCTACAACAACCACTTCCATGTGGATGCCGGGTCTGTCGGATGGCGATGTCTCATACGAAGGTGCCGTTATCAATGTCAATGATGACCGCACTACCTTGTCTTTGGATGTCCCAGCTGCCACTATGGAGGATTTAATGGTAATTAGTAACGACTTGAAGCTATCGACGACATTCACTGATTCGTTGCAATTAGGCCGATATTCCAGCGACAATCACTGTTGGAGGCAATACCTACTACGGTTTCGAGGCAGCGGCTTCAGCCTACGGCGTAACTGTGACAATCTCCGGCGAATGCTCACGCAAGAACACCGACGAGGCATCAGCATCTTGCACCATGACTACCAAGGGCCTCGATGAGGCGATGAGCTCTGTGTGCGCCGACGCCGATTACTCCGATCTCTGCCCCGATGGTGCGGACGCTGCCCTTCAAACCTCTACGGTATTGCCCGATGGATACTTCAACATGATCCCCCTCACCATTACAGAAGGCGACGATTCGCTTCCGAGTGCGACTGCAGCAGCGTCGGTGTCCGCTGATAGCGCTTCTGTAACAGCATCTCGCTCTACCGTGACCTCTGTAGCTTCTAAATCCGCCACTGCCACCACTTCCGACTCAGAGTCTGCTGCCAGCTCCGGAGCTTCCCCAACTTCCAGCTCTGCCGAGCAAGCCACCGGTGCTGCTCAGATGATCCAAGTCCCGGCATTGGCCGGTCTTGGTGCCGCTGTTGCTGCTTTCTTCCTGTAAAGATTTCGGAGCGAATTCTTTAGTTCTTTCCGTGCATCTTGAACAAGTTTTGACCTAGCGAATACCCTATACATACTTGCGCATCGTCGCCTAGTACACACTACTATAATACCATGTTATTACATTATTGCTCATTGTATTTGTGTTCGATGATATTCGTCAAAGACATAACCTTTGATCACCTTTCCAAGCATACCATTCTTCCTCCCTTCTTACCAAAACAACTTCTTCCTTTGTCATCTGTCATGACTCGTCCGCAGTACACATGTCCTTCACAATCTTCCCTTTTACACCACCACCTTGTCACATCTCCACCTTTCTCAAGAAAGTAGCAACGTTCTCCACACAACAGTCCCTTTTGAACATGCGCACACCTCATCTCAGCTGGAAACCATGCACTCTTGATGGTGATGGTTTTGGTGGCCAGAATACCGATGTCTTTGAATTCAAAAAGGTCGAGGTTGGGGTTGTTGTTCGATACAGGCAATTTGTGCGCGCCAGCATTGCTTGAGTGGGTAGATGGCTTATTCTTGAATATGCTGGGCAGCCAGTGTGGCGGTGGTCTAGGTGGTACCACGACTGTCAGGGTATAGCGTGTATTGTTTGGTTCTGAACTGAAGTCAACATGCGAGCCTCTCACCGACCCTGAACTCTTACCTGTCTCGCCTAAAGGGTCAAAGTAAGGTACCGACATATTCAACTTCGCACCGTGGCCTTGGCTCAGCCGATTTCGATATATGTAAGCAACTGATGAATGCCTGAGGCTTTGCGCGAAATGAAGTGGCGCAGTATTGGGGGACTCAGTACGAGAAGTGATAAAGAACAAGTGGCTTAGATCGAGTGTGTGTTTGATAAACAAAGACTTTGTGAAGTTAGTGTTCGCGCGTGACGCGCGGTGTGAAAAGGGTTATTGGAGACAAACGAAACCGTTGTGTAAGACGATCGTCAATGCTTGGTCGGTGACAATGACGATACGTTGACACTAGATACATAGGTACCGCGAACATCCCGGCTTGCCTATGCACAGCACAATGATACCAAGTTGCAGAATCATTCGCAACTGTTCGTCCTCCTGGCTCCGTCTATCTTCGCCTGCTCTCTGAGATGCTCATCGTAACCCTCAATACACCTCATTCTCTCCGTTGGCCCCAAATAAACCATCCCACCATCTTTGCACCATCCTTCCCAAATTCTAGGTCGTCCTCTTTTCTCCCTCCTCACTACTTCGCCTCTAATTTCCACCTCCTCATACTCCATGATACTACCAGCAGCCCATTCCATCACATAATGTTCCTCTAGGTATTTTGCGGTGCATTCGTTTCCGGATGTGAGGCAGCTACAGCGGATCTGCTCCGGAATTACGTCGCAGTCAACATCGAATGTGATTGTTTCTTCGATACCGAGTAGGTCAGCGTGTGAGAAGCTGGAGTTGGAGCGGTACTGTTCTGATGTTGCGGGTGCAACGAGTGCGGTAATGCGGAAGGTGGGTGGTGGTGGCTTTTGCCACGAGAAGAAGGCGAATATCTTGCTGAAAATGCTTGACATGGTCTATTTCGTGTTTGTTACGGATGAGGCTTGGACAGAGCTTGGATGTAACTTAGATGTAGTCGTAGAGTAGACACAGCCCTTTTTTATGAGAAATTCTGGAACAATACTTTTGGGATGTGATGAATGAGAAGTGCTAATGCTGCGTCTCTTCTTAAAAATGAAACCCATGTATTATCTCCCTGGTATCGAAAACCATGGTTCCAGTCTTTCCCATGGCGGTGAGCCACTTACATTTTGTCTAATGCCAATTTAGTCTAACAAAGAGATACTTGCCAATCAGAAAAATCACGATTGCGATGGCACACCCTCCTAACAAGAATTCAGGCCTATCAGAGAGTTCTCGTATCGCATGTACCGCAATAGGTATACGCCGTCTGGGCAAATCATAATGTACTGTCAGTACGTTACCAAGGTGCTCGCTCATACTAACGGAATAGTCTCGCTCGCCCGTTCCATCTACAGCGGATTTCAACATAAGTAATATGGCTCACTTGTACCATAGTAACAGCCTACTTGTGGAAATCTGACTGAAATAAGTTTTACAAGCTTGATGAGTGCGTTCTGACCAACTTAATATGCTATATCTCCATTTACACTCGTGCGAGTGAACTCTGGTCGATCATTCCAGGTGTCCGAGAATTAGCTTGAACGACCCTTGTAGTCACGATGCTACAGACTACCGAGCTTAGATGTAGAAGGAACACTTACAAGCTTCTTCGCTCAAGCAACACCCACCACATGAGTCTCTGTCCGCCCCTCATGTTGTAGCTAGATAACGGTCCGCGAATGAGGTCGAGCTAATCCTGCAAGGGGTTTTCCTAACCCATAGTGTCAACTTTTGCAGAAGAAGATAAGCTCCAGAATTATCTGCTGGTAGCGAGCATGTGACTTATATGATTGTGAGCGATGTGCATGCTGTGCAGACGCGCTTCCTGGTGAAAACAAAGCTTGGAAACTTGAAGTCTCAGCATCGAGACCTTTTTGTAAATTCTGAAGAAGATTGCGAGGATATTGAACGATGTTCTAAGACGCAAAATGCTGCTTAGTGAGCGTCCCGTCGACCAGGCTGAATGAAAGGTGTGCGCCTTGAGCCGGAGCTTGTGACGATATCCCTTCTATGATTTTAACAGGAACACAGTGCGGAATAAACATCTTATGATTATGCCGAGTTGTTTTAGCTTAGGTGCATAGCAGTGATGAGGATGTTGCGAGGTTTGCTGGACGGTTCTTCTAGATACCTCATTCGTCACTAGTCCCGTTGCAGCTAGCAGCTAGCCCTGGTCTGTAGCACCATGATCTGCAGTCGCCGCCGCAGATGACATGCAGGCCAGTATTGGTTTCTTCAAAGCAGATACCCCGCCTTGATAGCGAGCGCCTCCCTATCGCTTCCAAATCTCTTTCTCCCTTGGAAATTGTTCTAGATTTCGCGGATATGGACGGGAAGAATGCCGGAGAAGTAACCAGGAGAGTTAACGTGGGACACGATGACACGAATCCGAATGAGCCGACGCGCCGCCGTGAGAGAAGGCTGCTTGTAAAAATCGATCTCTTTGTTCTGCCTACTGTCATCTTGCTGTACCTCATGTGTTTCATCGACCGCACGAATATTGGTAACTTCCTCTTGCGTATATCGAGTCTACCAATCGACTAATGGAAACAGGTAACGCCCGTCTCGCTGGGTTAGAAAAGGATCTTGGGCTTGAAGGCTATGATTACAACATACTGTTGTCGGTGTTTTATGTGTCTTATGTTGTCTTTGAGATACCAGCGGCGCTTTGCTGCAAACTGATCGGTATGCTTTACGTCAACACTCCTTAGCTCGCGTCTGATTCGAAAACAGGTCCTGGTTGGTTCTTGCCACTCACTTCGCTCGGGTTTGGTGCCATGTCCTTAGCGACAGCCTTTGTACAAACCCGCGCCCAAGCATGTGCTGTTCGATTCTTATTGGGTATATTCGAAACTGGCGTAATGCCTGGATGTGCTTATTACCTCTCACGATGGTACAAAAGATCAGAGCTGACGTTTCGTCTTGGGTTATGGATAACCATGGCTCCTCTCTCTGGAGCCTTCGGTGGCCTGATCGCTTCGGCGATCCTGAAATTGGACTCTGTCGGTTCGCTTCATGGTTGGCAGATGTAAGCAAGCCGCTTCAATGCTGCAGATAGCCGAGTAACAAGCAACAGGATTTTTGCTATTGAAGGCATCGTCACCATGGTTGTTGCTTTGGTGGCATTCGTCACACTGACCGACGGTCCACAGACTGCGCGCTGGATGACGGAGGAAGAAATGCGGATGGTGATTGACAGGATCAAGTCTGAGCGTCTCAACCAGGATGAGCTGCTCGACAAAATCGACGCCTCAAAGCTCAAACGCGGCTTCTCCAATCCTGTCACACTTGCGGTATCGTTCATCTTTCTGCTCGACAGTATCACTGTCTTAGCTATCTCATTTTTCTTGCCGACCATCGTTCGGACCATCTATCCAGGCCGGTCTGTCATCCAGCAACAGCTCTTGACAGTGCCACCATACATTGTCGCGGTGGTTTGCACTATCCTGATCACAGCCGTAAGCTGGCGGATGAACTCTCGTCAGACTTTGATTGCGCTTGCGGGATTATTCGTGGCTGTTGGATACACAATCTTCCTCGCGACTATGAATGCGAGTGTGCGTTACGCGGCTGTTTTCCTTTGCGCATCAACTTGTTTCTCGTTGGGCGCAATGACGAACGCTCAAGTTAGCGCAAACGTGCTATCCGACTCCGCACGAAGCATTGCAATTGGTACAAACGTCTTTTTCGGATACGTTGGTGCTCTGATCGCGACTTGGACGTATCTGCCTGGCGATTCTCCCCGTTATGCAATCGGCAACGGCATCAACTTAGGTTGTGCAGTGACTTGGTAAGCAACATTGTTCTACAAATTGCATGAGACATATACTTACACCGTACACGAAACTTTAGGACTATTCTTGCGATATGTACCAAATTGTGGATGACACATGACAATGAGAAGAGGGACAAAAAGGAAGCAGAAGCGCAGCTGGAGCTCACGTTGCCCTCAGAAAGCGATGTGACTAATCTCGAGTGGAAGCATCCAGGCTGGCGATGGAAGCCGTGATCATCCTAGGCCTCATTGACAATGTGGAGGGCGTTCAGTGTTCGATATTTGAGCCTCCTGTCGTGAGAGGTAATGATCGAAAAGCCAGAAAGTCAAGAGCTCATGCGATCAAGTCGATCACCAGTCCAGATAGACAGCTTCCGTCCTGATAGCGCAACTTCGTTGCAAATTGAAAAATACTCAGGTTTCCTCGTTACCAGTTAGCGTCTACAATTGATCTCCGGGTCAATTCAACGGAGAGCAGTGAAGTCACAAACTTACATGTCATTGTTCCTTCACAATCGCTCGCTGATTGCAAACAGATTCACCCACCTGATGCGTCGCCGCCAACGTTTCTTATCAGCTACAAGCCCTTAGCATGGAGTCGCTCGACTCAGTCTCTACCGACTTACACAAGCTCATGAAGTAGGCATGGACAATTTCCTCGATACACAACTGCATCCCGCAGACACTTGCAGCATTTGCACCGACCACTTTAGCGCGACCCATCAGCCTGTGGCACTTGCCTGCAAGCACATATTCGGCCATGAATGCATCAAGACATGGCTCAAGCGTGGTAGGGGAAACACGAACGCCTGTCCAACTTGCCGTTATGTAGTGGTCCCCAAGCTGAAACGACGCAAATCCTTCGACGTGGCCTCTAGCTGGCAAGCATTATGCGACCAACCGCCCGAGCGTCTGAATGCGTTCATGATGAAGATATGGTCTGGCTTGCAAGTACTCTGGCAGCGGGAACCCACCGGCGCCTTCACAGTAACCTCCGTCCTTGACCAAGCCATCATCCCCGCCCTCATCAACACCGCACTCGGTACCAATGCGCCAGATGACCGGAGACAAGATTCTGTCCTAGATTGCTACAATCTCGTCGCTGCATCCTGGGACTCATTGGGCCGCCCCGATATAGCGACTGGTCTTGCCATCCCGCTGGTTCGACTTGCGCGTTTGATAGCCAGCGCAGGTGCTGTACTACCAAAATGGCTGACTACAAATCCGCGTGCAAACAGACTGATTTGGCGTGCGAATGCCTGCTTACCCATTGGCGAAGAAGACATATCGTGGCGCTACATCATCGAAGCCTCTCGGCAAACCGAGTCGTCTTACTTTCCGTTGCTGCACCTCTATACCGTGCTCATTAGCCAGAGTATCACACATTATCCGGCTCCAGTGCCGTACCCGACCAGACGCCATGAGATCATGAACCTAGTGGTTGAGCGTTGTTGTGCGAAAATTGGCGGTGGTGGAGCTGCGTGGAAAGGCAGGCCGGACGATGAGCTCAAAGATGTTTTGGTTGGAGTATACGGCGAACTGCGAAGGTATCAACTAGAAAAAGGCAAGATTAGCCTTCGAGGTCGCGACGGGGAGGATGCGGTCGTAAAGGGCATATGGGCTCTCGCTGGCTGGGGCAGCGGACGAGGTAACCCGCGTTGATGTCATTGCGTAATGTGGGGCCAAGCAGAGCCATTTGGTGGCTTTAACTCTACATGCTGTAACGAGTTAGTGATAAGTCAATTGAGCCAATTCAGACATACTTAAACACTCTGTACAAGTGTACTCAAGTCTTCAATGTCCAAATTGCCGGCACATCATGACTTCCGAGTGATGACGACAGGGCTACCCACGGAGCGTGCTCATACGGGCTCGGTGGGGTCGCGGACGCGTCAACTTCGCGACACGCAGCACAGTTCTCCATTCCCCGCCTCTTCCCCCTCACTGGACGAACCTCGTCACAGAGGAACCCACAAATTACTGCGGTACATCATGACCACTATCTGCCTAAAGAATAACAGGCTTGATGGTGGTTCTGTCTAGCCAGGATACTACCGAAACTACCGCTCCTTGCTTCCAGGGCCAATTTACTCTATTATTCAAAGTTCCGCATATTAGGTCGCTTCGAGCGTGCCACTGACAAGCATGCAGTTAAATGGAAACCTTGAAAAAGGAGCAATATCCGGCATAATACTACCATTATCTCGGGGTCATCGGCAGTCGCAGTAACTGTAGGTCTGATATCATGAAAGGTCCATTTAACGCCAATGTGTTTCCGTCTCTGGAACGCAGCACTTCCTGAATGCGCCTCTTGGAGAGAGTTTTGCTTGCAAACCTGCCAAAATGCACAATCGATCCTACCTTCTGCTGCTAGCCGTCGTCGTAGTTTTCGCTGGGACTACATCATCAACCGAATGTACGCGGGAAGGACTCCTCTCGGCTGCAAACTCGTATCTAGCAGCTCAGGTAGCGGGTAACCCTAGCACTCTCAGCCTCACATCCACCAACTTCACATACCTCCAAAACAACAGGGCTTCTGACATTGCGACCGGTCTCCTTTCGAGGCCGTTTGTCATCAATTTCAACCGCTCCACCGCCGACACTGCAGCATGCGCCAGCTACACAATGTGGATCAGCACATCTGGAAGCCAACCGCATGTCGTTGGTACACAGATTCGCCATGCAGATAACGACACATCAACAACTAGCTCCATCGACACGGTGGCCGCCACAACAGGCGACCTGTTTTTTGATGCTGCGAAGACCTTATCCTACATCCGCGCCGAAACCTGGTCCACCCTTCCCGCGTCATCGCAGCCTTCTCGTGCCCTTCTCAGATCTATCGGTGATGCATATCTCGACATGTGGACAAACACTACTGCTGCCGGCACTATTCCTTGGGGTCCACAGTGTGAAAGGGTGGAAGGAAGCATGTATACGAATCCTTGCGGGGGTAGTCTACCGCACGGAGGAAGTCAGAAAGTGAATGGAATGAGACGGTACGTCATTGATGAGACTATTGGAAGCGTGCAGGTCAGTTGCCAGTTTGACAGCTTAGGGCCTTGGCCAGACAGCCACGAGATCAGGGTTGAAGAGGGAAGGGTTAGGTATGTGCATACTGTGACAGTGCTGAGGGGTGTTGGTGCTTTAGGTGGGCTGTGATCATTCACACGCGCTCTGTGGCAGTCGTTCCAAAGGATTCATTGATTATACTTCTTGACTTCAATTCGATTACTTGATGTCGGAGCTCTTCACCACTGTGCCAAATACATCTGCCAGCTCCGCCAACGCTACTCTGGTGACCTCATCACCCTTGACGCCAGGAATATCGCGGTCACCAATAGCATCCTCGACAAGAATGACTTCGTATCCCTTCTGGAAGGCCTCACGGGCAGTAGTGGACACGCAGACATGTGCCATGTAGCCAGTCAGTACGAGCTTCTTGACGCCCATCTTCTGAAGCGTCTCGTGGAGGGAGGTTTGCTCGAATGATCCAGGGAAGTTCTTCCATATCTTCTCTTCTCCGTCCTAATACACACGTCAAAATTTGAACGCTTTTAGTTCTTCTTGTGCAGACATGAGGGGAAATGTCCTGCTGGCTCACGTACCTGTGCCTTGACCTCCTTGAATTCTTCTGCCAGGTCGGTGCCAGGTGTGAAGACAGGTGCACCTTCCGGTGTTTGGTGTAGGATGTGGACAATCTTGCCGTTGGCTTTACGGTACTTGTCGAGAAGGTCGGCAATAACTCTTCCGCTTGCCGCAGCATTCGTTACGGTAAGAGCACCTGATGCCTAGTGAGTGGGATTAGCGATGCTGTAGGTCGACAAGAAGCGAGGGTGAGCAAGAAAGGCATAGAACGGCCTGCAACGCATTATAGCATGCTTTCCCAAATAAATCTGTCTATGCAATGGTGGAATCGAAATTTCAAAATGCTTGGGATGAAAGATCAAATTTTAAAAAGCTATGAGATAGAACTTACATATTCGTTTTGAGCGTCGATGACAAGAAGAGCAGAGTCGCTAGTCGAGGCCGTAGAAGCGGGCATGCCGAGAAGATCACGAAAAGATGGTGGCGCCATTGTAATTGTGAGGTATGGTGGTTATGCGTGTGTTTAGTGTGAGTGGGTTGTAGCAGTAATGCTGTGGTACTCGATTTAATGGGAGCAGAAAGGAGGCTTAAGTAACCACAGTAGCGAAGATCATCAATTGTACGGTAGTAGCGTAGGTATGGTAAGCAATGATTAATGTCGACTTGATTCTAGACGATGTCCATGCTATTCGGGATACGACTCTCTTTTGGGATGAGGCGTGTAATTATACCCCGCCTGTAGTGGGTACCTGCATGACGCTGTTAGAACCTCGGCCCAATAGCAACAAGCCGCTCGTGGCGTGGGGAACCACATCTCCAGAAACTGGTGCCTTCATGCTTCGCTCTTACCACCTCCAGTTTCGGTCTGTCCGCGTTCTTGGTCCGTGGAAAACACTTCGCCGTTGAAGGGTGTGCTTGCGACGCACGATCACTTCGCTGCCGGCAAAGGAAGTTTTGCTACTGTTACAAAATGCTCATACGCACTCACCCAAAAGGACTGGCGACTGAAAGAATCGAGAGACGCTGATTCCAATGGATCATCCATGAATAGTCCATTTATTCCCTATTTTGATCGCCTGTCTGTAAGGGCCAAACGTAATGCTTCTGGTCTATACCTACCTAGCATACCTAGTCCCACAAGACAAGATCTTGTCAAGGGACTATAAAGGACGAGAACAGCGTACATCATCAGCAAAAGATTGTGTAGTGACTGAGAATGCGTATGTTTAGATATAGCTCTAGATAGTTAGTCGGAGAGAAAGAGGAAAGCGCTGATTGACAAAGCAGTGAAGCAAAGAGCTGGCACGTGGTTTTCTACACTTCCTATGTTGATTGCTACCTAGTAAATAGATAGCAGTCGAAAAGCTCTGTATGATAAGCTGAACGAGATATGAAATCCTGACAGCTGGGTTTTCTTGATGCGCAATCATTTGCCCTGCATCAAGTTAGGATAAGGGCTTCGAACTCGGGTATCTACAATGATTAAGAGACCGTCCAGAAACCCACACATTTTTAGTGATGCAAGTTCTTGAAACTTTATTTGCTGCAATGGCGCTGTGGTAATCTTTGCTCTTGTGGAACGATTTGCCACCAACAATACATTGGAGTCGCAAAGGTCAGCAACACACGATGAGAAGCAATCTGCAATACTACGCACAATAGGCAATATCAGGAACTACAGCGGTTGGGGGAGTAGCTCGATTGCATCATTATAATATATATGTATCTACTGCCAGAAATGAAAATTATAAGACGTCTTTGAGTAACGAGGAAGAGTTCGAAGAGGAAAAAGTGAGATATGTAGATCAGGAACTAATGATCGAGCGATTCTTGATCTGCCAGTTTGAGGCTGTGGAATACGAAAGGCTGCTCGTTGCACTTTGCGCGAACGTGAGTGAGACGCCTGTAAGTCGAACTTTTTGTTCCAGTCAGCTACTGTCAAGGCCTAGTACTGGCTGGGAGGTATAATACATTAAATATATGTTCGCCCACCTGGCGCGGCCTCCTTGATGTCTTTGAGGTGCTTCGCGTGCTCCTCGATGACTTTCGGAGAAGTCTTAGTAACCTCGCCTTGGCGAAGCGCGTACGAGTACCAAGTCTTGAAACATTCTTTCTGGGATGCTGTTGGGTAGCGTACACCCTTCGCACGGTGTGCCTGTAGGACCATTGTTTCGAGAGAGCGTGTAGCAGTAGGCATAGTTGTGATGCGACAGGAAATATGGCGATGCGAATTGCGAAACAAATATAGCAGGTATAAATGCAGTGGATGTAGGCTCAGTCTGGGATAGCGGAGGATGTCGGGTTTCGGGTACCGATTTGGTAGGCGGATCCGCAGTGAAGTTTGCTGTCACGTGAGTAATGTAGATCGAGACCGGTTTGCAGAAGCGTATACCGAAAGGGGCGAAAGCGAAGGCAAGAAGAGGAATGAATTCGATGAAGCAAGCTGAGTGTGAGCTTCCATGGCTTGATGTTAACTTTTTCCGGCTCTCCATCATATCTCCGCACTGTGTCCAACGGCGTACGTGCGCAGCCGGACATCAATGCCAAAGTCGTTGAATGTGGCCCAAAGACCTTCCAGGCGATTCTTTCGAGCTTGGAGTAGCTTTAGATCTCCCCAGTACTCGGAAGCTCATGACATGAGCTACCAGTCGAGCGTAAATGATGACGCAGACATCGTGATCATTCACTTGACGAACGATAGTGGTAGAAGCCGGAGTATCATCGGCCGGCCATATCGGAACCCCAGAGCCACACCTAGCGATTGGGTGGCTGGCGAACATGTAAGCACATCACTCGATGCCTTGTTCGAAATTATGCGTAGATCTTCCATGTCGTTTGGAGTCGTTGGTGTCGCACGGAAAAGCGGGGTAGGAGCGTTAGCGGGCCAGTAGCGAGACCACACTACCAAGGTAGGTATGGTCCGTTGCGGGCATTGGCGTGAACGTCGAATGTCCTGAAGGAACCAGACGGGGCTGTACGTCGTTTGTGACGTAGGACCAAACAAGGCCCAAAACCAAAGGTGTGCATAGTTTCTCTAATCTTCCTCCAGGTAGTCGGGCTTTGGATTTGCCATT